GTGTTGCCTAAATTGACAAGGCCGGTGAAGCCAGGCAGACACACCTTCTTCTCCTCCTCCTCCTCTTCCTCCACGCTGTCTCCACTAACAGGGCTATGGGGCATTGGAGGTACCATACATGTGGGCTTGGGCTGTGGGAGCAAAGAGACATGAGAGAGCAACCCTGAGGCTCCCCCGCCTCCATTCTTTTTTTTGGTGGGTAAGAGGGATAGTAGGACAGGATCTCATCACAAAGCCCAAGCTGTCCTCTAACTCTCAAGGGTTCTCCTGCCTCAGCCTCCTAAGTGCTGGGATTACAGATGTGTGCCACCACACCCAGCTAACCTCCACTCTTGGCCCTTCCCAAGCCAGGAGTCTCACCGAAGCCAGGTGTGGTTCTGGCTTTGGGGATACATGCTCCAAGGATGTGCGGGCAGCCACGGTCTCCAGCCCCATATCCTCAGATCGAGCTTTAGCTTTGTCCTTCTCCATAGCTCGGGCTTCCTCCTGGCCTGTCAGAGGGTGTGGAGGACCTCCTGGAGGGGCTGGCTCCAGAGGGGTTGGACCTGTCGGCACGGCAACCTTTGCACCACCCACTGCACCTTAAAAAGGGGGAATGAGGGGGCTGGTGGTTAGCAGCACGTGACAGATGGGGTTCCAGGTCATGCAGAGCTGGGCAATGATGGGAGCTCGTATGCAGACCTCGTGCAGCCGGGGCCTCCAGGCCCCCCCAGCGCTGACTCTGCCGCTTATGGAGGCAGATGTCGATTCGAGAGGTCGTAAAACAGAAGGTGCACTGCTCTGGCTCAATCAGGTTCCTGCAAGAAAAGGCTGAGCTCAGGAATTGGGTAAGGGAGGTATCAAGTTTGACAGGTCAGATAGATGTAGTCCAGGTGAGACAGGCACAGTGACAAGGAGCCCCAGGTGGGACAGGCACATGACAGGGCGGAGCACCACCCACCTGAGCTTCACCTGCCAACGGAAGATGGTGTGGGGCCCACAGCCCGGATGCAGCCTGAGGAAGTTTCCATCCCTACAAAGCCAGAGCAGGGCAGGAGAAAGGACAAAAGAGCATGAGATGAGAGTTATATCATTTGAGGTACACTGCCTGCCCCAGCTCCTACCCAACCACTCACCTGGTCTGAAAGATGAGCGTGAAGTCCTGCTCCCGGAAAAGTACTCGAGAGGTATCCCTCTGGATCTCCTTCACATACACGTGTACCACCACTGAATCCGGCCCCTTCTCGTATGAGTCATTCTTGACAAATGCCAGGTTTACCATGGACTCAGGCTCTATGGTGAGACCACGGCTTAGCACCAGGACAGGTTCCAGCCTGTTGTTGGTATACTCCCCACCCACCCACCAACTCTACAGCCCAAGCTAGTGCCACACCTGCCCACTTCCAGCCCCACCTTTACCATCTGCCAAGGCTGTAACATTTGCTGCTCCTGCTATCTCCTCTGTGACACGGTTATCTTTCCCAGGGTCTCTGCTTTGGGCCATGGCTGGGGAGACTGCATCATTCCTGGGAAACACTGACTTCTCTCCTGACAAAAGGGCTAAATTTGTCTCTGAGCCCAGGAGGCAGGTTTTGGGGTTCAGCAGCGGTACATGGAGCTGTTCCTCAGCCTCAACCTATTCATGGCAAGATTGTGAGTAGGATCAGCCTTGGGCCTAGCAAGTGATCCCCATTCTAGTGCACAACCCTCCTTCCCAACTCCTTAAGAGCCAAACAAGCACCCAGCTCTCACCTGGGTGTCCGGATCAGCCAGGAAGGATGGGGCATCAGCCTGGGATCCAGGGCCATCCCTGGACCTTTCCCCCTCTGGCCCTCTGCGGAGATGCACAGCCCTCTTGGCACTGGGCCCTGCCTGGACCCCAGGGCCAGCCCCTGAGCCTACCTCACCACGGCCCTGGGCTCGTTTTTGGTTCCGGGCCTCCTGCTTAGCCCGGCGGGGCTCAGGGCCTGGCTCTAGGGCAATGGGAGATGGCTCCTGTCCATTCTCTTGGGACCGCAGACCTGCTGCCAGATTCTGGGTCTCTAGAGGTTTCTTCTGCCAAAAATACAACAGTCAAGCAGTATCAACTACACTGGGTATCCCCACCCTACCCTGTACTGGAACTCACCAGAAGAGAGGGCCATGTGAGCAGAGGCACCTTCTTGGGCAGTGCCAGCTGTAGGAGACCACCCTTGCGGGCCTGCACCTTGGTGCAAGAACTTTCTATTTCAGCATAGAAGACACCACCCCACTGCTGACCACCTGAAGACAAAGTAGTGGCAGTGAGCTGGAGAGCATGGATAATTAGAGAATTCAGATACGCTGTTATGCTTAGGGCAGATGGACACACCTGGAAACCGTACCACACAGTCTGTGTCTGTGAAGGCAGCATCCACCTCCTCCAGCCGCAGGGGACCAGTTCCTACACGAAGCTTGACAATCACCTCATCTGCACTCTGCCTCCAATCAAGCAACAACTCTGTATAGGGAGATGAAAAGGGTCTCCACAAGCTGGGGATAAACTAGTAACAGAGACCCAGCCCTAATGGGTCTGCTCCAAGATAGGAACCAAATTCCCAGCTCTCCCACACCTTTCTTAGCACTTGAAAGTCTCATTCACTGCTTACCTTCTTTAGTCTGCTCCTCTCGAGGAGTGGACAATGACCCTGAGAACCAAAGAAAGAACAGGAAGGTGATGAGAAGGGGTCAGTCTCCTAGATCCCACCATCTGAAGTCATCTTCTGGATCTCAGCCCAAATACCCTGAGCTCAAAGCTGAGGCTTTACCCAACCTGCCATGAGGCATTCAGTCAGCACCAGAAGAAGACAAAGAGAATGACAAGTCATCTTCCAACCCCAATCACTATGGCCAGTTAGAGGGCAAGAAAAGTTATGAACATTCTGGGAATGCCACTCCCACCTCTCCTAGGATCTCCATCCTTGCTCTCCTGGTTCGCTCGATCCTTCTGCTTCTTCTTACTAGTAGCCTCTTCCAGTCCTGTGGTCCCTCTCCTCGGGCCTGTAGTACTGGCCCCTCCAGACATCTTCAGCCGCTTGGTTGACAGCCAGAGTGCCCCAGGGTCGGCAACAGCGTCTGGGTCAGGGCTGCGGCGCTTTCTTCCTGGCCCAGCTATCTTGGCAACTCTTTGTGGCTAAATTCTCCAGCACAGAAGCGACAGCCTAATGAAAAGGGATCACCGATCAAAGCCGACAACTTGCTTAGCTACAGCCAGGGCCCAGCAATCCAGGACACTCCTAACTCTACACAGCAACATCTCCTCATTACCTGGAGAAGCCCTGAATATTCTCAGGCTATTTTGAAAAAGGGAGTAATGCAAGTAGCAGCAACTATTTCTAGCCAAGTCTCTTTATACCTGTCACAACAGTACCCCAAATGTGGAAGCCTCTCTGAGAAGGCACCAGGTCAAGACAGTCATGGCCTGAGACCAGACTCGTCCTCTGGACAGAAGCCAGGGCTCCAGCCCACAGGGCTGGCACTCTCAGCAGGGTGCTCTCTTTCCTTCACTCTCACTGGCTGCTTAGTCATGCCTAGAAAAGTAGAAGGTGGAGGAGAAAGGAGGGAAAGGCAGGTACATTGAGACAGCAGGGGAACCAAACCTCGGTTGAATAAAGGTCCAGGCCAGCTGCTGTCACTGTATAGCAAAGGTCCCAGTGCTAAGGTGACCTGTCTGCCTCATGCCTGCTCCCACCTTTGTTATGAACTTGTTCCTGTGTACTATTTGGTCTTTCTCCATCCCAAGAAAGAACCTTCTGCCAGCTACAGAAAGGCAGACACCAGTGCCAAGGCATGACAGACATCCAGCTTGAGATCTGAAAAGCCATTGCCTTGTTTTCCAAGTCCCTTCACTCTTCATCTGCTGTGAGCCACAGAGCCCTTCTACCCAGACTCCCATGGAAGTCTGGTTTTTTGGTGTCTTTTTTTTTTTTTTCCCCCGGAACCGGGGATTGAACTCAGTCCTTTGCGCTTGCCAGGGAAGCGCTTATTCTACTGAGCCATCTCCCCAGCCCCCTCCCATGGAATTCTGGGCAGTGAATTCTGGGCAGCTGCACCATCCAAAAGGAAATTCTCAAAATCAGATACTGAGGTGAGGGTGGGGACAAGCCACAGATGCAGGACTCTTGGCAATCTCAGGTCCTAGCCTGAGCAGGTGGCAGGACTTAACAGTACCTAATCTATGTTCCTGGGGGGAAGGGGTATGTGATGGAGTCAGATGTGGTATTGGTGAGCTGGATCTTTAATAATGGCAGGTTCAGAATTTTGCAGAGTGGACACCTGCTTCCTTCTCACACCCACGTCTCAAGCGCAGGTCGCATCCCTCCCCCAGGCTCGAGGACATAGAGGCAGGAAAGAGGTTGTTTAGAGACCCCAGCTGGCTGGGGTAGGCCTTTGCAAAGTTCCTGGCCAAGGCCCAGCAACGTCAACCTCCGACCCTCAGGGCCCGCCACCACCTCCTCCAGGAAACCGCCCTGGCTCATTGTTGGTCCTGTTTGAGGTCGGAGGCCGGCCCCCGGCATGGTGTAACGATTCCGCCGGCATCGGTGGGCCCGGCACAGTGCGGGGCTCGAAGTGTCGGGGCTGGCACAGCCCGTGACCTTGAAGAAGCCGCCCTGGGCCCGTGCAGCGTCCTCCTCGCTGTGGCCACACAGGCGAGTCACTGCCCGCCCCACTCACCGAGCGAAACAGCCGCCGCCAGCCCTCTCCAGGCCCTGGTAACCCGCTCTCGATTCCGGTTCCGGCGTCAGGTCGGTTCCGGTTCCGGCGCGCCCCTCCCCCCGTCCCGGGCGCCGCCGCCGCCGTCTTAGCCGCTTGTTTTGTTTCGACTTCCAGTTACGGCTGCGGCTGGCGGGGCGCCAAGCCAGTGACGCACTTCCGAGGGAGTAGGCACTCCGGATGGGCTGCACCCGGCGGGCCGAGCGAGGAGGAGGGGCTGCGGTGCTTTGTCCTCCTGGAGCCCTGCCGACTGCAGTCCCTGTCCCAAGAATCCAGACAACAAACACAGCAAGGGTTCACACTGGTTTATTGGAGCCTTGCCAGGCAAAAAGCTTTAGTGTGTAGGCAGACAAAAGCGCATTGTAGGGTTAGGGACGAGGTAGGCCCTGGGCAGGGGTTACTGGCAGGTGTTGTAAATCTGGACTTGCAGGTTTATGGCTTGAAGCACACTTCGCATCCTGGCCTCCAGCCCATCCAGCTGAGCCGCTTTGTCCTCCAGGGCGCGCTCATTCTCTTTATAGGTGCCCTCCAGTTCTGGGAGAAGGTGGGGCAGAGGGAGCAGGTATTAGTTTAAGAATCCTTTTCCAATCCCACTTCTGGCTCCTACGCACACACGTCTTCCTCACCCTGTAGTCGCTGCAGCTTGTCCTGAGCCGCTTGTAGCAGGCCCCGAGCCTCATCCCGAAGTTGTTCCGCCCTTGTCTGAGCAGCTAGCACACCCTGAGCCTTGCGTTCAGCCAAGGCCTTCACCGTTTGGTACTGATCACTCACTGAGCCTTGCAGCAGCTGAGGATGTAGGGGAGAATCTCCAGATGGGGGCAGCCCAGTGGGAGCCCAACAAATGCCCTTACCTCCTCTAACTGGCTCTCCCCCAACCTACCTGCTCAGCCTCCTGGGCACGAATGTGAGCACTGCCTGCTGTTTCTTCAGCTGTAGAGGCTGTCAGGCTATTTCCTGCCCATTTCAGTTTCAGAGCCTCCAGAAGAGCATCTAATTGCTGAGCCCGCTCATCTGCAGAGCTCAGAGCCTGCTCTGCACCGGTCATCCTCTCCTGTACCTGCCACAGGTGGACCCAGAGTTAAACAGATCTACCGTACAAGCACATAATCTTATCCCACTGATGTCTTACGGAGACCACACCTGGCGCAGGGTCTGCTCTGTGTTCTTTGTGTCAACCACTGCTCCCTGGATGGCACCCTGGGCAACACCCTGTGCCCGCAGGGCCTCTTCTAGTGCTTTCTGTACTGTCTCTGCCTTCTTTTTTTCACCTTCAGCCCAGCTCCTGGAGAGAAGAGGGAATTAGGGCCTGCATGGTACCAACACCAGGTGTAAGGGATGGGGCCAGGGCTCAAGGTGGGATCAGACCGTGCCCGCTGTGCATCCTGCAGTAGCCGCTCAGCCCGACGCACATCTCCCACTGTACGTGCCAAGATTGTATCCACATCCTCTAGGTTCCGGACCCGCTCTGCAATTTCACCTGCCAGGCGCTGGATCTGCTCAGGTGAAGCTGGGATGGAGAGCTCTAGCACCCTCATGGCCACCATCTCAATGCTATCAGGATCTGCCCCCTCCTCTATGGGGAACATAGGCAAGAGTTTAAGGAGAGATTCTTCATAAGCATGGAAATATAATCTGGGGGGGATGTATTCTTGGATTTGCTAATAAGCCTAAGAATGTAACCACGAAAAGGGACATAGGGCAAAAACTTAGCAACAAACATGTACTGGAGGACCAAGTATGGGCAAAGACTCAAGAGCCAGACATGGAGTCATAAGGATAGATTTAGGGCTGGCGAAATAGCTCAGCAGACTAAGTGCCTGCTTTGGCAAGCGCAGGGACCAGGGTACCATCCACAGTCCTGAGTGCCACACCCTGTGGCATGCTGGGCAATCCACCAAGTCTAGGCATGGTGGCGCATGCCTGTAATCCCAGTGCTGGGGAAGCTGAAAATAGGTGGATCACTACGAGTCCAAGCTGCATAGTGAGACCCTGTACCAAATATATAAAATGGAAAAAAAGAAAGAAAGAAAGATAGATCCAGTTCAGTCCCTAGAGAAACACAAAGACACAGAAGAAACAACCACGTGGCTTGGGGCACATGGAAGGCTCACGGCTGAGGAAGTCCTTCACACTCTGGATAAGTTCTCGTAGTTCCTGGTTGGCCTGCTCCACCTGTTCCCTGGAAGCATTAGCCTTGTCCAAGGCTGCCTGGGCCCGCTGCTGTGCTTCGCCTGCCTGCCGACGAGTCTCAGCCACTCGACTGAGGATGCCACCACCTTCTACCAGTACCCGCTGCAGTTCTGCCTGTGTGTGCCGGGCCCGGGCCAGTGCTAGGTCTGCTGTGGCTGCTGCCCCACTGCAGCTGAGGCCCCCACAGCGGGGCTGTCCATCCTCATCCCGACAGCCAGCACCTCCACAAGGGCTGGTAGCACAGGGTTCATCCCCTGGGGCCCCACACACCTGCCAGGCATAGAACAAATGAGAGCTCTAGGGAGATGAACACCCATACCCACCTGTCCCACCCCATACCTGCACCTCACCAATTCATTTATGTCTGTCAGGCTCAAGGTATGAGTATGGGCAGAGAGTTCACTCAATGCCTGCTGGTTAGCCAAGTGTTTGCGGTTGAAGTCTTCCCTCTGGGCACCCATCAGTACTTCTGTTCGATGCCGGGTATCTGCTGAGTTGCTCACAGGGCTGGGTACTGATAGGGCTGAGGAGTTAGCATGACGTTCTGCCTCTGCAGACTGCCTGTGAGCATGGCGTATGCTGTCATAGGCACCTAAGTTGGACAGAGTCAGGCAGTCAGCTGAAGATAAGCCCTAGTCTACCTGCCTACTTAGGTAACTTACCCAGGAAATTTGAATGCTTAAGCAAGTCCAGGTGCTGGTCAAGCTGCCGCAGTGTGAGATTAAGTGCAAGCCCATCTCGTTCGAGACTGCTCAGTGCGTGGTTGGCACTGAAGTTTTCATCTTGCACATCAGTCAGCTCTGCCTCCAGCCGAGTCAACTCCTCAGTGGCCTCCCCAATTTCACGTCTGCATCAACAGGAAGTATGTTTAGAGAGGCTTTAGCCCTGATCCACTGAGCTTCTGCCTCATCCCACCATGTATCCTCTCACCGTAGATCCTCTATGGCTTCCACAAGCTGTGCAGTAGAGGCAGCTGAGGTGTTTCGAGCACCCACAATGGCCCGCACCATACCCAGCTTCTCCTGAATGTGCCGGAAACTGCTCTCAAAGGCACCCAGCACTCCTGTCTGCTGCAGCTCCTGAGCCCATTGCTCCAGGCGTCTTGTACGAGCAGCCAAGTCCTGCACAATTCGGTCCCAGTCCCCAAAGCATGCATGGCAGGGGTGGCAGGCAGGAAAGACACCTGAGAAGCCCCGGGCACACTGGTCACAGCGCACACCAGACACGCCTGAGCGGCAACTACAGTGACCAGTGGAGCGGTGACACTGAGGTGTATCTATCCCACGAGGGTCACAATCACAGGCTATAAGAAAGGGCAGATTAATGAGTTAGGGCCCCTATAGAACATCCTGGGAGCTCCTCCATCCATCCTGGCACCCCAGATGCCTCACCACGGCACTGCAACCCAGGGTCTCCCCAGTGGAGCTCTTGGCATTCAGAGCAAGTCCGTCCACCAAAGCCAGCACGGCAGTGGCACTGCCCTGTGAACTAGAGTGGGAGCAGAACAAAGGTCAGAGCCTCTACCAGAGGATTAGCCTTTGAGACCATGCAGACAACTGGCTCCCTCTACCCGGGGATCTGTAGGAAGGCTCCATACCTCATTGCAGGTGGGGCTTCTGGCCCGGGTTGGGTGGCAGGCACAAGGCTGACAGCCACGACCACTAGTAAGATTCCAAAAATTGGGGGCACAGCGGTCACAGCTAAGCCCTTGGACATTGGGAAGGCATGGACACTGTCCACTGCTTGCATCACACTGGCACTGGTCAGTAGATTGGCAATGCTGAGGATTTGTGCCCAGAAGGTTGCAGGTACAGCCTGTGCCAGCCAAGATGAAGAGAGTGCTCAAGGGGAACCCAAGCAGTAGAACCCCACCCCCAGCTTTCTCTTCCTGTACCCATACTCACGGTGACAGCTCTGTCGGGCAGCCTGTCCGTGGAAGCCAGGCTTGCAATGTGCACAGTGTGGCCCTTCTGTGTGGTGTAAACAGCGTAGGCATTGCCCCGTTTGGGGATCACAGGCATCAGGGTCTGTGGGGTCTATGTTCCCACTGCACTCACATGGTAGGCACCTGCCACCTGGCTTTGATGGGTCTCCAAAGTACCCAGGGGCACAAGTGTCACACCGAAGCCCTGCCAATGATCAAAGAGAACTCTAATAAGAGTTCAGCCACTTCACACTGATCCTGTGCCTGCGCCCTACCCACTCACCTGTGTACCCTGACCGGCAGTGGCACACAATCTGCTGGGAGTACCCATCCCGATGGCAAGAAGTAGCAAAATTCCGCTGGCTGCCAGGGCCTTCAGGGCAGGGGCAGGGCCGACACTGGCCCCCATATGGCAGCCGTGGGTCCCCATGGAATCCAGCAATGCATCTGCAGGGAAGTAAAGGAAGAGACGTGTCATTCCCAGGCAGCCTACTTAACACCCCACCCCGCCCCATAGTTGTTTCAAGTTTACCTTTCACAGTGTTCTCCTCCTGTGTGGTCACGGCAGCTGAGGCAAGTGCCTGTGTGAGGGTCACATTCATCTGCATGCCCATTGCAGATACATGGCCGGCAGTTAGGGAATCCCCACTGGCCATGCTGGCAGTGGTCACAGCGAAGTCCAAAAGCACCAGTTCGGCAGGGACACTGCCCAGAAGTCCCTTCACACAGGCCGCTGCGAGCTCCCTCAGGGCTACACTGGCAGGCTGAGGTAGAGTAAAGGCTGGGCTGGGGAGACTATATAAGGGGAGTCTGAGCAGGGTGAGTATGGGAGGATCATTAGATGGAGAGAACTGCCAAGAACCCAGGGTTGAAGAGAATGAGGTCTGAGGCAGAGTTAGAAAAAGCAGAACCAGAGGGAGGAAGGAGAGCAGTAGTGGGAAGGGGAAAGAAGAATAGGAAGGAATAAAAGGCAGGCAGATACCTTGACAGCCTGTGGGACCAAAACCATAGTAACCAGTGGCACAGATGTTGCAGCGGCGCCCAACCACTCCAGGTTTGCACAGGCACTGGCCACCGTGAGGATTACACTCAGAACTCAGTGAGCCTTCAGGGTCACACTGACAGGCTGTGGGATATAGGAGGGCCAGGTCAGGCTGACCCCATCTCTACACCCCAACCCCCATGACAGATACTTACGCAGGGCACCATTGTAGATCAGACTCGACAGGCTGATGAGAAGGGGGGCACAGGCCTCACTGGGAGGGGTCTTTCTGGGCATCAGACCTTCCTCATGGCAGCGATAGTGTTCAAAGGTGGCACGGCGCTCCAGAGCACTGGCATCACCTGCACTAAACATCTCTAGTGCCAGGAAACGAGGCAAGAGCACTAACTGAAGGGATAACCAAGGAAAAGTGTGCCTCAGACAGGGGGCGACACTGGCACTTGCCTTTGTACTGCTATGAGCTTGTTCACCCCAGTACCACCAGCACCTGCCTCTTCTGTCATAGATCCCACCACATGCTACACCCCATAGCCCTATCACTTTCTTTGGTGTGGGCAAGAAATCACCAAGTTGCTGGTGTGGTAGTGCAGATCTGTAATTTCAGCACTCAGGAGGCTGACGCAGGAAGACTGCTGAGTTCAAGGCCAACCTGAGCTGCACAGTAAGCTCAAGGCAGCCTGAACTACATAGTGAAACCTTATCTCAAACAAACCAAAAGAATTCACCGAGTCAATGAGCAGGCCAGGTCCAGAATCCTCAGGCTGGGAACCTCCCCCTGTTCGCACCAGCTTCAGATGCAGCCTATAGGAGATGCCAGGCTCAAGGCAGACAGGTTTGGGAAGCACTATGTACCTGAGGGCAAATGGAGACAGGTATAAGAGGTCACCCATCGTCCCTGTACCAATCATTCAGGGTCTCTCACACCCTACTGACATCAACCAAATTATTGGTCAAGGAAGTTGGGTCAGACAGCTGCCCAGGCACCCAACAGAAAATCTGTATAGAAGGTTCCCATATACTGGGCATGATGGTGCATGCCTGTAGTCCCAGCACCTGTTACATGGAGGCAGAAGGACCATGAATTCAAAGTCATCCGAAGCTACATAGCAAGAGCCTGTCTAAACAACAAAAACAGGGGCAGGAGAGATGGCTCAGTGGAATAAGCACTTGCCTGGCAAGGACAGGGGCCTCAGTTCAATCCCTGGTTTTGGGGGATAAAAAAAATAAAAAAAAAAAAAAAAAACACCACACACACACAGCAACATAACAGCCCTAAAAAATTTAATGAATAAAAATAAAAAAAAAATACGAGTCCTACGACATAGCTTTTTGGACTCATACCTGAGGCAGGCCAGTCTCACTGGAAATCCCCATATACCCATATAGCCTAGAAACTCACACCACTTGCCTTGCATGAAAACCTGCCAATTTGTAATTCAATTACCAATTCATGCTTCCTCTAATCCCAACCTACAGGGGCTGGTGAGATGGCTCGGTGGTCTAGAGCACCTACTTGGAACGGGCTTGGCGGGGCACAGGGACCGCGGTTTGATCCCCTGGCACCACATGCCAGCCAGCCCTGCCCCCTGGTGGGCTGAGCTGGCCACACACACACACACAAATAATCCCAACCTACAACTTCTAGTCCTCTCCACTAGGACTACATCACTTCCTCTATCTCCCTCTCCATCTCCTAGGTCAGTGGTGATGAATCTATGGCACGTATGTTATTGCATTTTTCTTTTAAAACAGCAGATATTAATGTAAGATTGCTTTTTTCTAAACTAAAACCTCAGTATTCGGGTTTAATCATAGTATCGGCACTTTGCAATAAATAAGTGGGTTTGGGGTTACAGTTTGGGCACTCAGTCTCTCAAAGTTTCCCTGTCACTGTTCCAGATCATTCCACTCATCCTCTAAAACCATACTCAGGCCCACCATGCTTCAATCCCTTGAGTTTCCTCGTAGCTGCCACATCATCTTTGTTGTGCTATCTAATAAATCATAGGCAAAGACCACTCACTGTCTTCATTGTCT